TTCCCACCCATCTTTCTTTCCCTACTCTCTACAGCCCCTTTTTCATTCCCCTCCCCCTTCCTTCTTCCTTTCTTTCCTCCCTGCCTCCCTTTCTCCTTCCCCTTCCCCCCAGCCAACATGATGCAGGAAGATCCACCCTCGCATATAAAGCTAAGGTCACACTAGTCTTCTATGTCCTGGGATCCCTAGACAGTCGTCATGTCACCAATCAAGAGCTGTTGCTGGCCAGATTTTCAGCTGATTTCGTTGCCATACATAGATGTTTAAAGCATGAAACTTTTTCGTGTTTCATGGTAATATGCAGCTAAAATTACTGATACTTGTGATGAAATAGGATGGAAATCCGTCTCCCCGCTATAAGTCTTGCTATTTCGATAAACAAACAATTCCAGGGATATCGTATTTGAAGAATATCCCACTACAAAGTCAACGGTAACTATATTACATGTTTTGTGATCACTTATTCGAAGAAAATAGATCATATGACTCACTCAGTTTCCAAAAATATTCATTAATACTCGTACACTTATTAGTTGTTTATATTCGACCAGTGACACTCTGTTACAAACCACCTAGGGTTTTAGCCCCATTCATAAAAAATACTATTTACGGTATTTCTACTTCGATTGGTTGCCAGACGTACAAAAGTGGGGACCCATCAAGGTGTACTAGGATATAATTTCCGCAACTGCACACGCACACGCCACGCACACGCACACGGCACACACACACACACACACACACACACACACACACACACACACACACACACACACACACACACACACACACACACACACACACACACACACACACACACACACATATCGTTTGTATGTATGTAAGTATGTGTATCACTTGACCTCATAGATGCCTCAAGCGCCATAGGCTGTACCCACGCTGTCCTCCTCCTTCATCTCCTCTTCTCTCTCTCCACCCCCGCCCCCCCCCTCCCACTCCCCATTCACTCTTCATTTGCCATTCATCCTCTGTTTCTGATATCATAAAGGCCGTGATCTCGCCCACTCCAACACGTCCCGCCCATTTTTCCTTTCTTTTGCTTAGTACTCTCTCGAGCCCTTGCTGTTGCGTGGCCCGAGGAGGAGGAGGAGGCTCTCTGGGTCGCGTCCTGCTCGCCGCCCTCGTTAAGGCACGGACACGCCCGCGCTTACGGTCGCGTAATCGGCGGGGCGGGCGTGCGTCCTCCGTCACGCCCATAGCCGGTCGAGGGGAAGCGATCGCATGCATTGCCTGTCGGTATCCGGAGTCGTGCTCGATGTTCGATGCGATACTCCCCCTGTTTATTCACGTGCATACGCTCTCTCTATTTCTGTGTGTCTTTCTCTCTCTCTCTCTCTCTCTCTCTCTCTCTCTCTCTCTCTCTCTCTCTCTCTCTCTCTCTCTCTCTCTTCTCTCTCTCTCTCTCTCTCTCTCTCTCTCTCTCTCTTCTCTCTCTTTCTCTTCTCTCTCTCTCTCTCCTCTCTCTCTCTCTCTCTCTCTCTTTCTCCCTCTCTCTTTCTCTCTTTTCTCTCTCTTTCTCTCTTTCTCTCTCATCTCTCTTTCTCTTCCCTCTTCTCTCTTCTCTCCTCCCCTTCTCTTCTTTCTAACCCTCCCTCTTGTGCTCTCTTTTCCTTCCCCCTATCTCCTCTTTCTTCCCCCCCCTTCTCTCTTTCTCCTTTCTCTCTCTTTCTACCCCTCCCCCTATCTCTTTCTTCTCTCCTTCTAACCCTCCCCCTTGTTTCTCTTTCTAACCCTCCCCCCTCTCTTTCTAGTCTCTCTTTCTAACCCTCCCCCTTCTCTCTCTTCTAACCCTCCCCCCCTCTCTCTCTTTCTCCTCTCCCCCTTGTGCTCTCTTTCTAACCCCTCCCCTTGTCTCTCTTTCTAACCCTCCCCTCCCCCTATCTCTCTTTCTAACCCTCCCCCTCTCTCTTTCTAACCCCCCCCCCTATCTCTCTTTCTAACCTCCCCCCTTGTGCTCTCTTTCTAAACCCTCCCCCTTGTGCTCTCTTTCTAACCCTCCCCCTGTGCTCTCTTCTAACCCTCCCCCCCCACTTATCTCTCTTCTAACCCTCCCCCCCACTTATCTCTCTTTCTAACGCCTCCCCCCCTTCTCTCTTTCTAACCCTCCCCCTTTGTGCTCTCTTTTCTAACCCTCCCCCTATCTCTCTTTCTTAACCCCCTTTGTGCTCTTTCCCTCCACCTCTCCTTTCTAAACCCTCCCCTCTTCTACCTCCCCCCTATCTCTCTTTTTCTCTCCTTCCCTCTCTTTCTAACCCTCCCCCTGTGCTCTTTTTTCCCCCCCTCCCCTCCCCCTCTTCTTTCTAACCCCCCCCCCACTTATCTCTCTTTCTAACCCCCCCCCTTGTGCTCTCTTTCTAACCCCCCCTCTCTCTCTTCTCTCTCTTTCTAACCCTCCCCCTGTGCTCTCTCTTCCCTCCCCCCCACCTCTCTCTCTTCCCCTTCTCTTTCTAACCGCCCCCCCCCTTGTGCTCTCCCCCAG